ATAAGTTTAATACTGAGATAGTGAGATACCCATCACCTTAACGGCATGTATACCTTATAACTGTAACTATTAGTTATTAGTTTATTATAGTGATAACTTGTTGAATGCATATATTAGGTGTTTAGGTTTAGGGCACCTATAGCTATAATACATTATAATTTATAATTTATAGCTATACGGCAAATAGGTAACTATCTTAAAATAAGAATTATAATATTTATTGTTTTAGAGTTATTGGCACATTATAACTTATAAGTAGGAGGTAAATTGATTGATGTATTAGCCATTAGGCATATTAGTGTATGTGATGTATATTATAATATATATTAGGTACTATAATAGTCTATATAGGTACTTAATAATTACATAACTATACAGGTTATAGATATTGGTATGGGTATCCGTTTATATAGCTAGAACTGTTTATATTTGAGAAATATACGGTTAAATAATACTTAATCGTAATGTAAAATGTTCTTCCGGTATATTTTATAATGATGTAATTCTAGAAAAAGTTTGTATTCGCATATTGTTACATATTTTTATTGCAAACTATTAGATTATTTGAGATTTAAAGTACTGTACTACCCGACGTTCCGACCGATATTTTATAAGCCAGTTTAATAAAAATGTTGTTATTATATATTATTATGTTGTTACTTGTTATAAAGCTCAAAATATAGAATTTCCAAGTTTATGTTTTGAAATTTGAAATTTGAAACGGTAAGTTTCTCGTGTGACGTGCTGTCTCGTAAATAAATATGACATAAAACTTTGTTAATTGGTAGCTTACTAATTTTTTTTAACTCTTTGAGTTATGTTACATAGACAAAATATGCAAGTTAGGTTTAAAACTAAAAGTTACCTACTATATTACTTTAACTTATAAAAGTTATAAGTTTAATAGGAAGAAGGAAACTTAGCTTAGTTAAAAATTAGTTACTTACGTTTTTTTATTTTTTAACGGAATATTTACAATGTATACTAAAATACAAGAAGCAAATTTGATAAAAGTATATGTACATAATACATATATACTCAAATATATAATACAAATAATAGGTAGGTACCTGGTACGTATATAAGAGTAATTGACAGAAAATATTAAATAAAAGGAGGCCAAAGGCCAATCAAATGACATAAGTCTACTAACCGAAGTAATACATTATTTAGGTTAATTGTTAGTTACTTAATTAAAAGAGATCATGATTCACTACAAAAATGTTTCTTTAAATATCGAACCCATCTGGTTTAGTGTTATTGTTGTGATTTGGATTTAATGCACTTGGCTGAGATCGTAATTTTCTGTGGAGATTTTTATGGTTGTATTTTTGATCCATATGAAATTAAGAAACAGTGAATTAATACTTAGTGTTCATCAAAAAAAATTATATACCCGTTCCCGATTATTATTTTTTCTAATGGCACATATAGAATGTAGCGGACAAGGCTTTTACGTATAGAAATGTTCGCTCAAATAAGTGACGTTCAATCCTGTTTTGTCTCGGGGTGACAAGATTTAAATGAGCTAATTGGATGAGGAGATCTATCTATTAACCTCAAAACTGAAAAGGACAATTTTGGGCTTCGAATTTCGATCATGTTAGATTAGTGTTAAGCAACTGACGGCTTAAGGTATATACCTACTATAACTTATCTTAAACTATCCCTCGATGGTTGCTCCAAGTGATACCTAGGTGGCTAGGTACTGTATTTTTAATTTTCATTATCTGATATATTTATTAAGACACCACAAGACAGCAAAATTATAATACCGAGTACATTACAATAATTATATAATCATTTAAATGTAAAGAATGAAGACTATAATAATTGAAAACCCGAGATCAATAATTCATAGACTAGACGCCAAAGACAAAACTATAATAATGGCTTCAGCCAACTGCAGTCATAATATATAGATGGAAATTTGATTTAATTAGGGGTGAGGGCTGAAATCTTCCTATACAAAATGAGACAATTAATAAAATAAAAATTGTTATTATTTTTTTTTTTTTTT